AGAGGAGAGTAATGTGAACTGTGGAATATTTACAGCAACCTAGAATAATACTGTTCCTACAGTATCTCGTGCAGACAACTTTTCCATAAACACAACAGTGTATTAAAACATAAGGCAAATCAACACTGGAGGCCACTAAAAAGCTCATTTGTGTTATTTCCCTTTATGAAGTAAAAGTCCCAATTTCATTTAAGTGCTATAAAAGTAATCCTAACACATAATATTGTTAAGAATTATAATTTTAAAAAGCTTTTGTTATCGATGCTTGTTTGTCTACATCTGTTTACAGAATTTACGTTTTTATGCCAAAAGTACATTTTAAAAAAAAAGTATTTCCAGAGAGACACTGTTTACTACAATTCTTACTACAGTTGATTGAGCTGGTGCTTCGACAGAATTGTAGCCTGTTACTTAGTATAGCAGCCACTGTTCTTATAATCCCTAAAGCAGCAGAATTCCCAAGGCAGATTTGTTAGCAAGTTGTAAACAAATAATTTTCAAAGACTTATTGGCAATAAAAAAAGTCATCTTTAGTCCTTTAGAATTTAAATTTCTCCACCAAATTGGAATTTTTGAAACTGCAATCTACTTCCAAATTAATATTCTGGAGCAGTTTGGAAACTTGTCTCTGAGGAAGAGTCAAAATCTATTTCCAACCCAGACTCATCAGAATTTGGGAGAAAATTAGGATAGGAGCTTAAGTCTGAATGCTCCTGCATGTTAGCAGAAGCATTTTTCATAGCTGAATGCATGAAGCATGAAGATTCCCAGAGCCAGGTTTCAAGGTCCGCAGAAGAGTGAGGCATTTTAAGGTGGCAGTATGAAGAATGACGTTCCATAGAAGATGGGACAGTTTGACATTTTCTTAGTGATGCCAAATGGTCTTTCCTGTTTAAAAATAAAAGAAAAAAGAAAAACATTATTAGTGTTTCAATAACATTTCTATTACTGTTCATATGCCTGACAGGGAATCTTCATATAAGGAAGAACACCAGAGGAAAGTAGTTAATTCTGAATGCATTTAGTGAGTTAGGATATGGGACAACAGGAAAAGGATCTTGACCTGATGACATGTAAAAGAGGGGCAACTCCGCCATTATGTGTTGTCCTCAGAAGTAGGCATAAAATAGTTATATTAAAAGCCACACGGTTCTGATGAGCTCAGAAGGGTAGACCTAGTTTGTACATTACCGCTTAAATAGTCCTGACCTCCCTCCAGCTATCCACTTTGGAATATTTACTGATTTACTAGTGTCAGCACTAACTGGACATTAACAAAAATAGTCTCAACATTTACAAATTGAATAGCAAATACAGTCATTCAGCTTCCCAAATGCCATCTCTGTTTTCCACTTTACAACCAGCTAATTATCACTAACCTGAGCAGCTGGAACACAACTTTCCTACGCTCTAAAACAGCACCTGAATCACCAGGTTAGTCTTTTTCAATTTGAAAAACAGGAAATTGAAGAATCCCCAGTTCTTTTCTTTAAAAGTCATCTTTAGTCATCTTAGTTGTCTCCTCTCTTGCAGTGCTTTTGGGAAAAAACCCAAAATAGCCCGCAACAGGCCCTCTCACACACAAAAAAACCCCAACTTGCCATACACACACTTCAACACCAGTTTCCATACCTGAAGTTTAGGTGCACTAGAAGATACCATCCACCAGGTTAAGTTTCCTAAAAGGATTTTCAAACTGTAAACAGCGCCAATTTTCACGATATTTAAGTTTGATTCCAAAACAGAAGCTAGATCTGATTGAAGAGCGTAAAAAAAGTGGAGGTGATTACTTTCTGCAAAAGCAGCAGTAAGTCCTTGGTGGATGCTGAAACAAAGTACAAGCCCAGAGAGTCACGTGTAGAATAGAATGCAGGATTCTCCACACAGAGCCTTGGGACCCAGCTACCTGAAGAGGGAATCCACTTAAAGGAAGACTTCAGAAAACTCAGAAGTTTGACAGTGTAAACAGTTCAGTGGGAGCTGATCAGCTTGAAGTTATCATAAAAGCATACAGCAAAAGCCACATCATCACCATGTTCTGTTTTATGGCCAAGAGCTTGCTCTTTCCACAAGAAGAGAAACAATGTTTCTGGCTAATCATGACTCAATAACCAAATAACGCCTCCAAGAAGTTAGATGCGAGATAGTCCTGCGATATTGTGCCTTCCAAATGCCCATTTCAGATTGAGTCTCACGATGAGTAAGTCTGGAATATTAGCAACATCAAGAAGCTGCTACATGAGGGTAAAAACAGGAAGATGACTATATCCAAGTTTATTGCGGAAATGAGTCAGAAATATCATTAAGAAAAGAAGGAAAAAAAGACACTGGATTACATGTGGTATCCAACAACTGAAGAGATGACAGTAGGATGGTAGCAAATGTATACCAAGAACTACATTTCTGCTCAGAGAGATGGCCTCAAAAGCCAACTACAGTTTTATAAGAAAAGGCTTTAACTGATTTCAGAAAGGGAGAAGAGACAGTATTTTTATACAGGAACTAAATGCTTCTGAATTCTGGGTAAAACTAAATATTGTAAAAAGAAACTATCTTTACAACCTAATATTAAAGCCACCATTTAATACTTCCAGAGAAGGAAGGAAACAAAAGGTTCAACCTCGTTAAGTTTTCCATGAAGTCAGAACCTTTAACAGTAAGTTTGACTACCTGTGCCTCTAAGGGATGGAGCATATGAATCTCATCTTCCCACGATGCCAATCCAGAACCTGGCAAAGCTTCTTATATGGAAGTAGAATCAAATGGTTCTTCTCAGATATATCAAACCTGCATTTCTGATGGGTCAGTGCATAGCATTGCCAGGGCAAAAAAGAGCATTTTTGATCATCCTCCTTATCTAACTTTATGACTAAAAACAAAAAAACAAGTTCAAGAATTCTGGGCTCAAATAAAAGGCTATTTTTTGTTTTAATTTAAAAGTGTGCTGTATATAGAACATGGCAATGCTTTAACTGAAACAACTGCTGCAGTTGGCATTCTCCAGTGCTACAGCTATTTCTTGTAAGCTTTTATGAAGTGTTTAAGAATTCTGTTCACTCCTAATAGCTTTTTGAGCTAATTTCTCTCCCCCTTCTACCTCCTACCCAACAACTTCAGGAACTGAGACAATCTTTAGAAAAATTACAGTAAAATAGGTATGACCTACTCTGTTAAGTCTGGATTTATGCTTTTTCAAACCAAATCTTAGGAGACTTTATATTTATAAGCATTTGGACTGCAGAGAGAGCCTATGTTTCTCTATTTCTAGCACTACTCTGACATGTCTGTGCAACTCTGTTCCAGCAAAAAGTCCATTTTTTAGCAGGAAAATCTAAGCTGAATATTTGTCATACCAATTTTGTGAAAGTTTGAAGAGCTTCTTGGGCAAATACTACACTCCCAAGCAAAAAGAGAAACAGTAACGGTATTCTTAAGATTCATACTGAGGTGAGTTGTCATCAATTCCTCCATACATGTTGTGCTACAAAGTTTAGTGGAAGTAAAAATTCAGAAGGGCTAAAACTCCTACCAGCTTGGTAAGAGAAGCATAATGAAGCCAGTTACAACCAGGTTAAAGTAAAGGTTTCTCTTCCACTGAAACAGAGATTCCTAAACATTTTCCATTTGTCTTATTTTAATTCTTCCCAACTATCTTACAAGACTGTCCTTCATATCCATGTACTTTTTGACTCCTACAAACTTTCCTGTATAGACCCTTAAGAATCTAGTCTTTCTCACGTCTTCCAGTTTCTACCTGCTACTTCTGATTTAGAACATCTTGAGCAACCTTTTCCTCCTCTTTTCTTCCCAATTGCTCCAGCTACTGTGGAGCAGAGAAGAAACAAGGTCTCTGTTCTCAGTCCAATGCCTGCTCCATAACCCACCCCTCTCCCCAAAAAGCATAAGGCTACCAACAGGCAACCCCTCTTCATCTACAATAAGTAAACAGTCATTGATCAGTTATAAACAAGAAACACCAGAAAATATACTTAAGAAACGATGCTAAGGATTAGAAGCAGTGAGAACTGGTTTATGTTACCTTTAAGAAAATTATTAAATCTTGTTTTAAGAGAGAAACTTATCAGTACTTGAAGCTCTGACAAAAGAGAGAATTTCTAAAAAATGCATCATTTGCATGCAGCAGCACTCCACTTTACCTGGCTGTAGAGAATAGCTTGCTTTTAGCCTGGGAATAAACTGTACCAGCAATCCGACAAAGCTGTTCTTGCATCCATCGAACATCAGCAGGCATGTCAGGAAACCAGTTTACTAACCTACAATCAAAACCAAAATACACTTGTTTTATAAGCAGTAGATCTGATTTGCATTATATTCTTACAGATCATGTTCAACATCCAAAGTAACACAGCTTTTATTCTCCCCAAGTTAACTCCCTCACCAAAGCCTCCAGGTTTTCCCAACCTCTCTAAATTTTTATCTAGTCTATTTATTGCTTTTCTACAAACTAAGAAAAAGGGCAGCACAGACCGCTCCATCTCTGATCTATGCTGAGCAGCTGACCAGTACGTGCATTTTACACCTCTTGACCAATGTTTAGGAAGTCAGCAAAAAATTCCTGTCTCCGAGACCTCTTTCTGTGTGGCGAGAACTTTCTAGTCAGTTTAAAGTTAAGTGGGAAAAGAAGGAAGAACAAAAGAAAAGTACAATGGAAGAATAAATAGAAGGCAGAAACAGAACAATGTCACAAATATATTTCTTTCCTTATGATGCTCTTAACAGAAGTCAGTTATACCAGAGGGGCACGAGGGGGAAAAACCCACGTTAAAGTTCTGTTGAAACTTGTTTCCTCTCAATCCACCAAAAAGTGGCACAGAAACAAAATATTTTACTGGAGTTCTATATGGTTCCATTTACAGAACATTTGATTTTTCAAGTATTTTCTAAAGATAGTAATGACATCTGCTGTTCAAGGACTGGAACTCTCTTAAGCAAGCACAAAGCTTAGGGTTCATGGTGCATTCATTTAGCATCATTTTTCCTTTACAAGAACAGAAAAACTTGTACAATTAAGCCCAGCTTCAAAAGCACAACTTTCAGTCAACCTAAATGAACCTGGTAAGAAAGTTCACATTGTGAATAAACACTGGATTTCACTCTCGACTCCAGAAAGAAGCTGAAGCACAAGAACTATCTGGACAGAGTTCAAATACCACTGCAGAATACAGTAATAAAAGAACATGCTCCTGGAAAACACAATTAAGGGTGCTCCTTTCAAGCAATTACAAGACAGCTACTAGTAATAAGAGTAAATTGTTTAGAAATCTTCTTAATGTGTTTATTTATCTAGCCTTAGACTGTAGAGGCTTTAGGAGGATGCATTATGTATGTAGGTAGAAACAGCCATATTTGGACGGTTACCACTTGAATTCTAGAGTACCAGAATGCCTACGACACTGAATAAGCTCTCAGTGAGTAAGTTTCCAAAAGTTTAATAATTCTAAAATGGTTCATTAAAAATTCCTTACCGTAAAGCAACAGAGTAAGCGGACTCTACTGGTAACGTATATGGTAGCATCAGATAGGATATCACTCGCATTGGGAAGAATTTAGAGAACTGAGCATAGAATCCATTCTGTTCTTTACAAGCTTCCTGCAGTGCTTAACAATAATTAATTTTGAAAAATATGTTAGACTATTTGAAAACAGTTTAAATAATTTGCTCAAAGTTTGGTAATCTTCAGTCAACATTATCAAGTGTTACTGAATAAGGCTCAGATAGAAAATGAAAGAATTAATCTCAAGGCACTCTTACCATAAACCTTCTCTATTTAAAATAGCTATTTTAAAATTTTACTTCTTTAAAAATACTCAGTATTTTAGATAGAGTCTCTAACAAAAGAGGAATGCTAAGGAGTTTGTTTAAATTCTAGAGTTGCGCATATTCCAGTTACACATAGTTGTAAGAAATATCACACTTCAAATTTTGTTCTCCCTATGTCACTGGGATCACAAATTTCAGATCTTGGAACTACTCATCAACATCCACAAAAAAACCTACGTAAAAGTCATAGATTTAAAAAGTATCAGAAGTGGGTTTGGTCTATTAACAGCTTATTAAAAAGACAAGAAAGCCAGAGAATTAGAAATCTATGGAAGTTTGTTTTAAAAATGAGGGGGGGATAACCAGTGTTTAGATTTGAGGTTCAACTTAGGTGTTAAGTACATGCTTGCAAAAATACTGTGCACATCCAAAGTTTATCCAAAACCAAGTAAGAATTCAATTCACAACTCTGCAGTGTTGAAAGTGGCTCCTTCCTCCTGCTTCAGTATTATTTCTGTAGCTAAATCAAAATGTGCATGTTCATATTTAGTTAAGTATTTAAAGAACTTTTTTGAGTTGACCCAGTCTCTAACTTCACAGGCAGCTGTAAGATTAAATAGAAAGCATCTTATGGAAATTATGAGTAAGCAGGCGAAAAAAAATAAATCAAAGTGTGCCATTCAAAGTTACAGGAAACAGTCTGAAGCACGTACCTTTACGAAGTCTAGGAGGAAGACTCTCAAATATGCTCTTCTCCAAAGGCCATGGATTTTGCTTCAGCTGGTCATTAAGTACTTCCATTTTCAAAGTTTCTACTCTGTTATTTTCTGTCAATTTTTTTTTCTTCATAGGGTCAACATGTTGTGCAGCCTCATGAGGATTTCTTTTTGTGAAGGACAAGTGGATATGAACTGAGTCTTTCAGAATACCTGAAAGAGCCAAGAGCTTCCACTTAGGTTTGATCCATGGGCCTTCAGAGTACCTGTACAGCACCTGCAAGCTGTACATCTGTACAAAGGCCTATCCTGAGGGAACATTATCTACCAAAAGTCAAATACACTTGCTCTTATAATCCCACAAACATTTAATTGCCCTGATGAACATCCTTTTGCAGATTTAGGTCTTATTTTAAAGCAGGTTCTAAAGAAAAGGAAAAAGTGAACAATTAACTGAAACTGCACTGGAAGCATACAGTCATTTACCAAAGTTGTTTTCCAGCAAGAAAGCAAATGATTGAAAAGAGAGGAGGAAAACTAATTTAATATTTATCTGAAAGAAAACACCTAAAAGACATAAGACATTTGGGAAACTCACCATGGCAGGTACCACAGGAGCACTCAGAAGCACTGCTACAACAGGGTGGAGAAGGAAAGCAAGTAGGGTACCATATTGTTTTAAGATGTATCCAAAGTATGGATCTAACTTGCAAAACTGGTGCCAATTAAGAAGTCGCACTGATGATTACCTTAGAAACAAGCACTAGATAATGAGCACATAGTGAAAAATACTAGAGTATTTCTACTCAGTTTCCAGAAAATTGTTAGAAAGTTATTTATGTATAAAGAATACTAAATTTGACTAAGATCCATACCTACATACAAAAGAATCTGTATCCTACTTACAATTGCTCCCAAGAGTCAAATGTCAAAAGAATACAGTGAATTTAGCAAAATAAGTTATCTGGAGTGTTACAGATATGAGAAAAAAAACCTCCTACAGTTGAAATAACTTAACAAAGGAGGTGCATAATTAATGAATTTGGAAAGGCTGTAATTATCACTGATTAAACTTGAAGCAAGACAAACCTGTGGCAGAATAACAAAAAAGGTGATCACAGGATTAGTAGTGTGAAAAGGAGAACAATAGTGCAATACACAGAGGACATGGAAGAAAGATACCAAGGAAGAGCTGCAAGAAATCTCAGACATTAGTGTCAGACGGAAACATGCACACAGGAAACTTGTGGGTGCAGTACAGCAATGGAACCCATCTTAGCACAGACAACCACAAATTATAGGCTCTTTGTATAGCCTGCGCTTATAAACTCTTGGTAAAAGGTATAAAGCAAGACTCCCTCATTAAACATTTAGTACTATTACTAGAAAAATCAAACTCTTAAGCAAAACTGTGATGTTCTTTAACAGTGAAGAAAACTGTTCCAAGAAAACCTGAATATGAATGTTTAGTTAGAGTATAAGCAGTGAGCACATCCATCTATGACTGCGTTACAATACTGCAGCTGGTACTGGCTGTAATTAGTGCAAACACCACATTTCAGTTTCCATTCCTCTAATCTGACCCAGTACCAATCTGCTTCTGCATCCAAAGACTACAGGGACGAGGCATATTTAACACATGGTTAACTTCATACTAATATCAAGTTACTGTCTTTAACCTGTTTGTCTCAAACTGTTCAGAGCAATAACATAATTAATGTTAATGTGTTACTAGAATTCTAGTAGAGCAGAGCAACTTTCAATTCTTCCTAAACTTATCTGGATCCCAACAACTGCTATGTTACAAGTTGTCTTCTTCTGAAGTCTTTCATGGTAGAGACTAAGGATTTGTCTGTGACTGAGTTTATATTGTTGTTAGCCAGATCCCAGACCTGGACTATAAGGCTTTACCTAGAAATTCACTTGGATGATAGCAGAGAGGAGGTGGTAAGATACAGGTTTCACAGGACTAGGAAACAATAGTCTATTCCTATACTTTACAATTAACAGGAAATAAACAAGTAACATGATTTCCCTAGAACTGGAATTCTTTGGTAATTTCACTTAACCACACCTCAACATTCACTTCACACAAATTTGACAAAAACCCAAAGGTTCAATTTCTGTGCGGGAGCACAACTTACCTCGGGTGAATAGTTACAACTATGTGATTTCTGTGAGAACTAAACTGATTGTGATCCCTTCAAAAACCTTAAAGACCCAGCCCCTTCTGCTGGTTTTGGCTGGGATAGAGTTAATTTTCTTCATAGTAGCTAGTACAAGGCTGTGTTTTGGGTTTCTGCTGAAAACAGTGTCCATAATGCAGTGATGTTTTCATTGCTACTGAGCAGTGCTTGTGCAGTCATGGCCTTTTCTGCTTAGCTACATACAACCCCTTCACTCTTTATTTTTTTTTAAATTCAGGTTAAGACCACATCATCAATAATCATCCACAAGTGTGACATACCGTTCTCTGTCAAGAATTTAAGAGCATCTGAATATCCTTGCTCACAGATCTCTCCTAGTACCTGCAAGCATAGGGTAAATGAGTCAGATAAATAAAAGGAGATTCAACTTAAGATCAACTAAGTTTGCATAATGAAAAGCCACTTCCATTCTTGTAAGAAAATTTTACATTAACAATTGCTATAATTCAACAGATTCAGGTTAACATGCCCACTGTGATGATGCATACGTGATCACACGTACATGAACTGATCTTTCAGCTACTACAGATGCACTGAGTTATTCACCTAAAAGTACAGCATTCTAACAGTCTGCAAGAATTTTCTCCCATTTTCATTTCTTTGCCTAGCCTTTCAGCAGTTGCAAGCAACAATGAAACAGGGTAGCGTGGAGTATGCCAACTGCCCTTCTTCCCTCCCAGTGCTTCCCACTTCCCAAAACTATGAAAAGTCAGCTGTGCAATTCTCATGCTCAAACTCGGACTTAGTCTTCCATATGAAAACATCTTTCACCAGATGCAACACCAGCTCACCTACACAGTAGTCCTAAACAACAAAAAAAAAGCCTATATAAGTAGAGTTTAACTTTTTTCTTCACGTGGTCAAAAACCCCTCCATTAAAAAAATAGATCTATAGCAGTCAGAAATATTACTTCTCCTCTGTAGTACATCCCAAGCCAACTGGCAAAGTCTGTGAGTCTGTGTTCATTTTTTCAGCTTTCACAACAGTAATCCGAGAGCATTTCCCTCATCAGATCTGCAATTAACAACACTTAGCAAAGTTTAAAGGCAACTTGCCTGTGTGAAGTATTAATTGAGAATTTTACAAGACCATGAAGCTTTAGAACTTCTGCTAAGTTATAAAGGACCTGGTCAGCAGGTAAACATGAAAGGACTACAAATTGACAATTATTAATAAATAAATAAATACTGAAAGCCAATAGCAGGACACGCATTTTTAGTCTGAGAGAGACTAAAAATAAGGAGAATGAAGACAAACTATGAAAAAAATAGAAACAACAAGAGAAATGTCACCAGAAAAGTTTGTATGAGTAGATAGAATACTAAGATTACTGTATCTTTCTGTAAAAGCAAGGCTTTTATATAGAAAGATGTTTTAGTAACTACATGAAAGCAGTGAGTTACCTTAGGTTCTGGTGGAAAGTGAAAGAGTGCTTGTGTTAAACGATAAAGGTTCCCCAAACTAAGCTGAATACTGGTGTTGGTCACATTCATTTCATGAAAGCTGGCAGAATGTCCCTTTGGACAGATATCACACTCCCCAGCGAAAGGCGAAACTGTGATGGTATTCTTAGATTCATAGTGAGGTAAGTTGTCACTGATTCCTCCATCCACATAGCGCTACAAAAATGAACAGAAATAAGAAGTCTCAAAGGTTGAAAATTTCTAACTAGCAGATTTCCCATGCAAGAATTAAATAGCATTTAAGACTGTAACAGAACAGTCTCTGCCTATGATCCTGAGCTAAACACATTGTGAATAGCATGCTTTGTCCTCTAACACCAGTTAAAAAACATTCCTACCTATAGTGCTCTAGATAGACTAGAAGTATTCTATTTGGGATTTTTTTTTGTTTAAGAAAAGAGCAAGTCCATTATAAAGATCATAATCCTACACAACACACAGAGAAAAAGTAGCGCAGCTATCTCTTCTTCCTCAAAGGAAGCACCAATCAAAGAGCTACCAAGATACTTCTTTTACTAATATTCTTTCTAATATATAGCTCTACACTTCAAAGCTCAAGTTCCGTGATACTAAACCATTCAGTTAGACTAAGAATAACATAAAATTACTCTTAATAATTAGAATTTGATATAAAAGTATCAAAAATATTTGGACATAAACTACAAGTAAAAATGGACAATGCTTTAGAAACCTTGCCAACAGTCATGGACACCTATTCTGCTTTGAGTGCAAGTCTGAAAGCTGTTCCAGGTCACACTTTTGTCTCTTTTGTCTTCAGTTGTCCATTTCTGTAGTTTTAGGGCATCATCACCTCACACATTTTAAGATCCAAGAACTGAAGACTCCTATATTGGAGTAACTGCTACAGCCAAAGACAACACCTCCAGTCACTCACATTACCATCTTTCCAGCAGGACCAGTTGTGGCCAGTTTGTTCTGACAGTGGCAGAAGACCACTCCACATTATCAGCTTTGGCAGTTTAGTGGCTGCATTTTCCTTCTTCCTAACTAGGCAAGAGACATAACCTGTAGCTCCTTGTAAAATTTAAAGGTAACAAAGCAGGCGTTTTAAACAGGAGCAACCTGAATTGCCAATTTCATCAGCATTGATACTTACTTTGGCCAACATATTAAAAAGAGCACTGCCTAGAGCAATTTATCCAACCTACTCTTCCAGAGCAGCCTGTTCCTCTACCTGTTAGCTTTCTTGGACACTCTCTAGACTCAGCAGCATGCAGCTACTGACAAACTTTCTATAGGTGTATAATACAATCACTAAGGTATACATGCAATCACCCAGTCCTTTGTGAAAGTATCAAGTACAATACAACAGGTTTAGCAAAGGAGGAGACACAACATGCAGCCTTCTCAATATTAAAAGGTAGAAGTACACATCTGAGTCACCGTTCTACAGAGGTAAATGGTTTTATTTGGAGCTTCTTCTTATCTGTTCCCTCTAGTACTTTTTTATCAAGGGGTAAAAAACCCTAAACATAACCCACTGTTCTGGTTTTGGCTGGGATAGAGCTAATTTTCTTCTTAGTAGCTAGAATAGCGCTCTGTTTTGGCTTCAGTATGGGATTTGGTATGAGAAGAATATTGATCTTCTACTGATGCTTTTAGTTTTTGCTAAGAAATCAAGGAGTTTCTAACTTCCCATGTTTTGCTAGTCTGCAGGAGCAGAAGCAGCTATGAAGAACATAGTAAGATTAACAGTTTCAAACTGGCATTTGGATATGCCAATGGGATATTCCATATCATGTAACATCATGTTGAGTATATAAATGAGGGTTGACTGGAAAGCTTGTTCTCTCATTCTTCTGGGATTGTGGTTTTGGGATTTGCTGTTCTCTGGGATCACTAACCAGGAAGAGGCTAGGCACTGGTCAGTGGGTGGTGAGCAAATGCACTGTGCATCACTCATTTGTATATTCCATTACTACTGTTATTATCATTATTATTGTCATTATTATTTTAATTTTTATTTTATTTCAATTATTACATTGTTTTTATCTCAAGCCACAAGTTTTCTCTCTTTTACCCCTCTGATTCTTTCCCCCATTTCCTATGCAGGGGATGGTGAGTGAGCAGCTGTACGCTGTTTGGCTGATGGACGAGTTAAAACCACCACACCCAAGTTTCACATCTAGCAGATGTATATACCTATTCAAAGTTATCCTTAAATCTTTGCTTTAAAGTGCATGAAGTATCAAGCCAGTAAACAGCAAGATGCTACAAAGTTTACATACTTGACATTCTACTGTGTTTAAGCTCTACAGAAGCCATTCAACATATGCACCCAAGTTACATTAATTTAAAAGTTACATCAGTATTAAAACTATGAAAATAATTGCAAAGATCAGAAGGATACAATTCTTCCTTCCTCATCCCTCAAAATAGGGCCAAATAAAGCATCACTTCCATCTCTTTGTACTCTGAACTAAGCCTTTTAAAATAACATTGTTGTCTGGTGACAAGAACTGAATAGCCAGATTAGCCTGGATCCACCTAAACCTTGGATTCAGTCCAACGTCCTGTTTTCATAACACCTTTTATCTGGAAGAGTTTAAGGAGACATACAAGATTTAGAAGATAAAGAAAAATCCCCATACACTTCTAATCACTTTTGCTTAAATTTCAGCATGAAGAAGAAAATACACTTCATGTCTATCCTTGACCTTTTGGCACTTCCAGACTGCCTTGAGAACAGTCTGTAATCACCCACTGTTAAAGATGATTTGAGTTTTCTTTCAGTATTCTTCCCCTCTTGTGTAAGAGCCACCAAAGTTGGAAGGAAAGCAAATGCAAGTTAATAACAAAAAGCCATGAATGTCACTGCCTTGAAGTGTGTGTCTGCTTCCAGACTCACTAATCAAACCACCTTCAACAAACTATACTAACTGTTCTGCACTTGTTCATAGAATGGTTTGGATTGGAAGGGAC